GGCCAGGGTTACCACTGAAGCCCATACAGATGTTCAGTGTGGTCGGGGCTGATGCCTGAAGCCATGCTGATGTTTGTGGGTGCGGGAGAGCTGGTCCCGCCCCTCTCCAGTCCATAGCACTGGGATTCTGGTAGTAGTGTGGACATGAGAGAGAGCTAGTCCCACCCCATTCTAACCTCTGCATGGTTTTACTCAACTGATGGCTTTTGGCTTGGATGCAGGCAGAGAAGACTCGTCTTTCCTTGGGATGACCACTAGGAATTTGACCATGCTCCAGGGATTATGTGGATAACACAAAATGGACTTGTTCTTTCTTTTGGTGGTGGGGAAGAGGGGTCATGAGGGAGAGAGGTGAACATGATTGGGGTGTGTGATGTGAGATTCCCAAATAATCAATAAAAATAAATTTTAAAAAAAGCTGAGTACACTAAAGAAGAAATCTTTTAACTCCAGGATGCCTGTTCATTTACCAGGGCAACCTTGGTCCCACCCCTCACAGTTGGTATGGAGTCCTTCCCAAGTGGGAGGAGCCATCCCTAAGTGGGTCTGGATTGAGTCCTGCTTATTGTTGCTGTCTTGTGTACCATCTTCAGTCTGTCTGCACTCAGCTCCTCCCTCCAGTCTTGGGATCTTTATTTACTACTATGCCTGTGACTATAAACAGAGACTGTGCGTTGGTTTCCTAGCTTCCCAGACCTGAATAATCACACAGAAAGTATGTTAATTCCAACACTGTTGGGCCAATGGTTCATGCATATTTCTAGCTTGCTCTTACATCTTAAAGTAACCCATTTCTAGAAATCTGTGTATTACTACAAGGCTGTGGCCTACTGATAAAGTTCTGGCATCTGGCTCCTTTGGCAGCTACTTGACATCTGACTCTGCCTTCTTTCCTCCTCTATCTCTGCTTGGAATTCTGCCCTGCCATAGGCTCAAACAGCTTTTTTTTTATTCATCAATATAAAACATATTCATAGCATACAGAGGGGAATTCCACAGGCTGAGACTGTGTATGTGCATTAGATGCCCTTTGACCCTGTTGTTATTCTGTGTGTGTGTGTCATGGTTGACAGGCCAGGGAACCACAGGGGAGATTGTTAAAAAGCAGAATGGTCCCCATAGGCTCATATATTTGAAGACTTGGTCCCCAGTTGGTGGAACTCTTTAGGAAGGATTAGGAGGTGTGGCCTTCCTGGAAGAGGTGTGCTACTGGGGGCCAACTTTGAGGTTTTAAAAGCCCACTCCATCCCCAGTTATTTTGTATATGTGTTGATTTTATTGGTTAATAAATAAAGAAGCTGCTTTCAGCCAATGGCTTACCAGAATATAGCCAGGCTAAAAGATATATATATATATATATATATATATATATATATATATATATATATAGAGAGAGAGAGAGAGAGAGAGAGAGAGAGAGTAGGTAGAGTCAAGGAGAAGCCATGTAGCCCCGTCTGGAGACAGATGCCAGACAGAACTTACCCAGTAAGCCACAGCCACGTGGCAGTACACAGATAATAAAAGTGGGTTAACCAAAAATATAAGAACTAGCTAACAATATGCTTAAGTGATTGGCCCATCAGTGATTTAAATAATATACTTTTCGAGTGGTTATTTTGAGTCTGGACAGCCAAAAACAAACAAGCGGGCTCCTACAACACACACTCTCCCTTTCAAAGTTACACCCCTTCCCATGTGTTCATGCCCAAGCCTTCAACACCAGCCTCTGGCGGACATGTAGGATCCAAGCCATGCTTTGGAGACCAGCATGCAGGAGTACTAGCAGAAGTACTGCTAGTCTAGGCCACACCCTCCTCCAGTTCTGCAGCATAAGCTTGGATTTGTGGGGAAGTTACTGAGTCTGTGACCTTCTGCAGCAGCCTTAGGAAACTGGCCCAGATGGGAACCTTATTAGGACCCAGAAACCCCTCTCCCCTCCTCACTTCCCCATCTGGCCGGAGGATTAGGCATGGCCCTTCCTTCACATCCTGTTGTTCTTTGTTGGGATGAAGTCCTGCACTGGGCTCTGGACAGGGTCTAGGATGTCTTGGCTTTGATTGGCACCTCTGACCCACATGGTTTCTGTGGGAAGTCAGCAGGTTTCAGCACAGTTTGGCTCCTTTAGCCTCTTCGGCAGCAAGCAGCCTTTTGTTGACTTCACCTCACTTGACAGCTTGTGACATCCTTCAGATGGCAAAAATCCCTGGGAATGGGTCTTGGTTCTGCAGCCACCACCATGTGACCTTGAGCCAGATTCCCTAGTCTGAGTGTCTAGTCTTCTTTGTCATGAAGGTCCTGAGTACACCCATCTTCACCAGCACCACCCCTCTGCCTTAGAGCTCCAGCGGCTCATGACAATGCTGTGTGTGTGTGTGTGTGTGTGTGTGTGTGGTACAGCAGGAGGGCTGTGATAGGTAGGGATGGGTGCTGGAAGAAAGGCTTCTCTGTCCCAAGTTGTTCCTTGCTCCTTTCGGAAGCCACTAGATGTGCTTAGTACTGCCTGCATAGTCCCCAGCTTGAACTCAGCTGTATTTCCTGCTTCCCCAGGAGGGAGAGGACCCAGGGGACCCTGGAAGCTGATAGTGAGGCTGGAGCCCAAGGCAGGGGAGGCCCTACAGCAGTGACTTCAGACTGAAGTTTTTCCAGTGTTTCTAAATTGGGAGTGGTTAATGAGGGTTGTTTTGGCCTGGAGAGACGGGGCTGGCAGTGTTAAAACATTTGCAATAAACACATGTCCTTGTAACAGGAAGGGCCCGCTTGTTCATCCTGGCTGCCTGGCTAGCTTAACCCTGAAATAACCACACAGAAAACTGTATTAATTAAAACACTGCTTGGCCCATTAGCGCTAACTTCTTATTGGCTGACTTTTGCATCTTAATTTAACCCATTTCTATTAATCTGTGTATCACCACATGGCAGTGGCTTACCAGCTAAAGTTCCAGCATGTCTGATACTGGCAGCTGCTCCATAGCGTCTCCCCCTGACTCTGCCTCCTTTCTCCCAGCATGCCATTTAGTTTTCCCCACCTACCTAAGTTCTGCCCTATCAACAGACCCAAAGCAGTTTCTTTATTAACCAATGACAGCAACACAAAGACAGAAGGACCTCCTACACCATGCCCTGGTTGGCCTGATGGAGCTGATGGGGCCTGAGTCCTAAGTGCGCTATGGATAGTCAGGTTTGGGGTACCTCAGCGAGTCTACACTGAGGTCCCACTTTACAGAGGGGATGAGTCGCCTGTGGGTCCCAGAGGTTGTAGAGCTGGTAGGGTGGATTGAAGATTTGAACTCAGGCAGGCTGACTCCTCAGCTGTGAAGCAGTCAAGGCTGTGTCTGTGTGGGTGATGAAGCCTATGTGTAGGGATGTGTGTGAAAATGGCAGCAAGAGCAGACCAAGACAGTTAGCTTCAACAAGGGAGCTTACTTCCCTTCTAGAAAAGGGTATCTTGAGGTAGGTGCCGTGCCTTGAGGTGCAAAGTCAGGGTAATGACTTCTGTTTATTGTTCCAGAACTGTCTTCCATGTTGCCCTGCCCTTCCTCATGGTGCTTCCTCATGATAGAAATGACTGCTGAGTTGGCAGGAAGGAGGAAGGGGAGAGAGAAAGAGGTGCTGCTTCCACCCAAGATCTCTGTCCTTGGACGGCCCAGCTAGGCTCTGATGTCTGATCAATAAGGAAATGGAGAGATGGTGGATAGTGGAGGTTTCTCTCTTTATTTTCTTTCTCTCTCTCTCTCTCTTTCTTTTTTCTTTCCTTTTTCTCTCCCTCTCTCCTTCCCTCCCTCTCTCCATCCCTCCCTCTTTCCTTCCCTCCCTCTCTCCATCCCTCCCTGTCTCTCTCTATTTTCCTTTCTTTCTTTCTTCCTTCCTTTCTTCCTTCCTTCCTTCCTTCCTTCCTTCCTTCCTTCCTTTCTTTCTTTCTTTCATTTTTGTGAAATGGGGTTTCTCCGTATAGCGTTGGAGCCTGTCCTGGAGTTTGCTCTGGAGACCAGGTTGGCCTCAAACTCACAGAGATCTGCCTACCTCTGTCTTCCTAGTTCTGGGATCAAAGGTGTGTGTTACCACTGAAGGCCAGTAGAGGTTTCTTACTGCGTACCAATGAATAAACATGGCCCTTAGGAAAGAACTCTAGACTTCTAATTCCTGCAACATCGAACTACAGGAGTCCCTTAAGCCTCACTCTTTGCTGCCCAAGTAGAAAGACTGAGGCCCAAGCCAGCAGTGGCCCAGGCTTAGCCTTCTCTCTCTTATCCCAGGCATCTGCCCTGACACCAACTCCTGGAGGATGAATAGCTTGGTACTGTTAAGGAAGCTAACTGCTCAGCTGATAGCGGCCATACTCAGTCAAGGATTGTCCACCAGCCAAGCAGCCAGGTTCCCTATCAAGGAGATGCTCACCTGCCATCTGTCAACAGCTATGTGCCTCTCCCCAGACAGAAAGGTACCTGTCCACCCAGGCAGGGATGGATGTGCTATCTATTTCTCTGCCTCTGGAGCCCATGGGTCTTTTTGTTCCCAGACCTGCTGCCCATCTTGGGCTCCCAGAGACCTGGGCTAGAAGAGAGGGCCTGGAATCCATCCGAGGATGGATTTCTCAGCCAGGTTGCAGTTGGGAAATCCCCTATTCAGCAGCCGGGCCTTCCTCCCGGCTTCCTGCCTCCTCCCTTTCTTGGCTCTAGTCACTCTATCTCAGTCCTGCAACTTTCCCCTTCAAGACCCGCTCCCTTCAGGTCTCTGGAGGCTCACCCCGTGCCTATGAGAGGGCCAGGTTTATGTAGGTGGTAGCTCTGGGGAAGAATTCCAGGCTGGCACATTCAGGAAGAGAAAGAGCCTTCCGGGCTTGTTATTATCTCTGTGTGGCTGGGCAGGTGGGGGCTCCTGACCGTCCCCAGAGCACAGGCCTGGACCTCCGGCTGTCATATTACCCACACTGTTGTCCAGGGGCAGAGGAGAGAAGAAGGCAAGGAGGCCTGAGGATGAAACTGAGAGCGGTTACAACTTGCTGGATTGCCAAAGAAATTTAATTTTATTCTCTGAAGCTGGTTGTGAGGGAGGAGTCAGGGTATCCTGGTAGGAGGAGGGTAGTCTTCAGCTCCTCATGCCCGTAGGCTAGTGAGAAGGCTGAGCAGGAGGACTGTATTACCAAATTTGGGCCAGCCAGGAGGGCATCCTGCCCCACTGCCCCGGGGCTGATCGTCCCTGCCACCCTTGGTCGAGCTAGCCCCACCACTCTGAGGAGGGGGAACCTTGACAACCGGGGGAGGGGCAACCCTGTCACCTTGAGGATTTCTGATTCCATCATCCATGGGGCTGCCTGCCTGGCTACCCGGAGAGCCCTGGACTTGGGGGCTCTGCCAGGGTGGAATATTGCACAGTTTGGACTGGCAACAGGTCTGGATCACCTGGGTGCCTGACACCGTCTTGGTGAAGGGTCTGCAGGCATCGGTGCACCACATGGAATAGGTGGTCAGGAGACCGTTGCCTAGGGCTGTAGAGAATAGGTGGTAAGGGCAGAGCATGGGTGTCAGTGTGGGCTCCTTCTCTGACCCCCGTACCCCCCCCCCCCGCGGGATGTGCCTCTCCAAATGCTCACCACTGTTGCCATGGGAGACTAAAGTGGTGCAGAAGGTGTGGCTGTGGTCGCAGCTCAGTGTCTGGTTGCAGCTCTCTCCACTATGTAGCGACTGGCAGAAGTAGCACTGCAGGGGTTCTGTGGACAACATGGCAGCTCAGGTTGAGAGTGGGACCCCGGGGCTACCCCCAAGTACCTGCCCCCACCACCAGTCACCCATTAGCCCTCCCGAAGGAGCCCGTGCCTCGAGCTCTAAAGAAGAAGGGCAGAACATGGGAGTCTGATGAGGTAAAGCCCTGGGCTAAGGAAGCAGGCAGGGCAGGGAGGGGGGTGCTGACTGAGAGGGGCAGAGGTGAGTGTCAGCTCCGGGTGGAGAAAACTGCCGCTCAGGAGAGAGCGGGTGTGTGGGCACACTGGGCTCCCTGCTCGGACGCCAGTGGCTTGCTCTGCTTTGCCCCCGGGACAGGAGGTAAGTGTTGGAGGAATACTCTGTGCAGAGCAGGAAGCTGGGCTCTCAGCAGGGGTGGGGTACCTCTGTCCCTGCTTCCCGGGATCATGTTGGTCTCCTCTTCTTCCTCCTCTTCGTAGTCGTCATCGTAGCCATAGCTCTCTGAGCCCGAGTCCGCATCGCCATCTTCTTCTTGTGCCCACCTGCTCCCTGCTGGTACAGGGACAGCCGTGAGCCTTGGCTGTCCAGATGCAGTGGACACACTTGGGGTTGAGCACTAAGTCCCGACCCTAACATGCCATCTTTTCTGTGCTCCTTCCATTTTCGACAAGGAGGCAGAATTCTCCCAACCCCACCCCTGCAGTGCTGAAGCAGCCAAGCTTGCGACTGGCAGGAGAAAGGAACCCAGGTCTTCCATCTTCCTCCCCAAGCCTATTTCTTGTTCCTAGGATAAGGGGTTCCTGGAGGCACTCACGGGTCAGGACTGGGCCACCCCTTCTTGAGGTGATCCGCACCTGACTGTCCACTTATCAGCAAGACCAGGAGGACAACCCTGAGTGCCTTCATTCTGGCGCAGGCCGTTCTGTCCACTGGCACTGTCCTCACTCAGGGTTCTGGGTCTGCATTAAGTGGGACATAGGGCATTACTGGGGGCTTCCCATGGCCCCCACCAGCTCTGACCTCAAACAATGGGTCTCACATTGGTCGTCAGCTGCAGGCGGCACCAGGCCAGGAACATCACTTCCCTCAAGGACCTCCGGGGATAGACAGGAAAGGGAAGTTATTATATTGGCCTTGGGTCTCCTGTGCCACCTGAGCTGTTCCTATTGCCTGGCGGGGACTGCAAAAGGTGAGAGCTGGCTGCAGGAACCACCTGGTCCTGTCCTGGCTCCTGAGCCTCCCGGCCTCAGCACTGTCAGGCTTGCTGTGAGTTGATGCGACAAGCACCTGCCACAAACCTATGGGGACCCTGGCTGCATAGCTACAGGGGCTTAGGACTCTATCTGAGGGTTGCAGACCAGGAACCTTCCACCAGTGGAATCCCACGTCGGAGTATCCAGATGAGAGCGTGGTCTGTCCGGCTGCAGCTCTGGCAACCACTCCTCCTCCCACTTCCTGTCCTTGATCCTGCTGGCCTTGTCTCTCACTGCTCTGACTGCCTCTTCTTTAGATAGGCTGTTCCCTCAGTAACTCTCTTCCCCTTCAATCTCTTCATGAGTTACCTCCCTGAAGCCTCCGTACTGCTTCATATCACTTTGCTGGATGTCTGTCCTCTGATATTGCAGCCTCTACCCCCTGCCCCCAGGGATACCGCATCCATTGATGAGGCTACAGAAGGTAGGTGTTGTCCCTGGGCCTCTGGACCTAGGTAGTTGTTGACTTTGAAGCAGAGAGCCTTCTGGGACTGGCTACAGTCTACCTGGCCTGGCTTCTGCCTGGAAAAGCCATTAGCTCCAGCTGCTGTCTCCTCCAGCAAATTCTGTGTGAGCCCTTAGTGGCTTCAGGTCTCTTCCTGGGGTGCAGAAGATCCCCAAGCTCCAGGGGAGTTTGCAGATAGGAGAGCTGGGTACTGGAGTCACACTCCCTCACCTGAGGTATGTAGAGAGGTAATGGGTGCTGGACTGAGTCTGAGTCTATGCCAAGCCCTGGGAAGTTTGCCTGACCTGTGGCTTGGGCCAGCTCCTGAACTTGTATAAGTCTCAGGTTCCTGGATCATCCATAGGGCATGGGAGAAATGGCCAATCTTCGGGAGTCATTCGGAGAAAATATTTGAGTCTCAGCTCCCAGTCCCATAAAATTGTCTAGTCTCAACTTTCTCCTTGGGTGAGATGACCATTAGGGGCCAGGATTCACAAAAGTAAAGGCCAGTACATGGCATAGGTGGTCCCTTCTGGACTGGAAGACTCCTCTCTGTGGACTCAGTCATGACTGCTGTGCCTTGTTGCCTTCTCTTGAACTGTCTCCCTTTCCAGCATTTGCAAACTGGCCCAGCCCCCTGTTGACCTACACCTCTATCCCTGCACCTGTTTCTAAACCTCACACGCATAGTCTTTCCCCAAGCTGGGATCATTATCTCCCTTGGTCTTCCTTCTGACCCCACCCTCTGCAGGCCATGTGCTTACCTCCAGGCGCCAGCTGCTTCCTCCAGGGGCCCTCTGACCTAGTGAGGGCCTGGGCCTTCCAGGACCCTGTAAGGAGAAGTAGGCTTGCAACTACGCCCTCCTCCCATGGGCCTTGGATCTGTCAAGCTGTCTCCCTGTGAGCCTAGTTCCTCCTCTTCTGGGGCCACACACACCCAGGCCTGGGTTAGTGAGAATTTCAGAGGAGTGACAGCTACGTTTAGGAAATGTGGAGAGGGGTGTGGTGGTGTGGCCACTCTGACTTCCCTTGACAGCACCAATAGTGGGAGGTGCACACTGTTCCCAGCACTATATACACCCCTCCTAGACCCAGCACATACCGTTCCCAGCCCTACAGGAAAGACTGCTTGAGTCTGGTCCAGCTAAGCCAGGGTTGATGACCCTTGGGTAGAGATGAGATTGTTCGCCTGATACCTTGACGGCGGAAACCTGCTCCCCTCAGCTCTGATCCCAGAGTGGGTGGCAATCACTGTGTTCAGTATGCGTGGATGCTCACTCCCTCTCTATCCCCCACCCCCACCCTGCACTGCATGGCCTCTTGAGCAGACCCAAGGGAGCTCATACCTCCTCCAGTGTGAGGACATGTCCCCCAAGAGCTCAAGATCCCAGTCTAGTGGTCCTGAGATGCCCAGAGCCATCTTGGAGTCTGGGTCCAGGGCCTTTGTTCCAGGGTTCTAGCTCCCTTCTAGCAGAGGCTTCTTACCTAACTGGGGACCCTGGAAAGCAGCCAGTCAGTCACTTGACTTCTGACTTGCAGACCTTTCTGCCTGGGAGTTCTGGTTTTGCCTTTGCTGTCTGATTCCTTGGACTCTGAGGATGCTCCTGACTCTGGGCCCCTCCCCACTTTGCTCTTTTTGGCAACAGCAGTCTTGGACTCAGACTTGGGTGCTGGCTGCAGACAGGGAATTCCTGGCTACTCATGCTCCCTCTAGTGAGGCCATCAGGTAGCTGATAAGGCTGGACAGGCAGGCACACTACTGAGGGCTGCAATCTCCTGTCTTTGGAGGTATGTGTGGCAGCATCCTGGCCTCTGGGGACACCGTGGTACCAAATTTAGAGCCATGCCACCCCCAAGGATTCTATTGAGAGAATTAGGGGCACAATCAGGAGACTGGCACATTGGAGTGGCAACAGTAGATAGAGGCAGAGTTTGGACTACGCATCCACCATCTGGGTTAAGACCAGGCTTTTGGGTAGACATGGTCCGTAGACGTGCTGGCCCACATGCTTATCACCCAGCTGGGTTCCCTCCAGTCTCCAAAGCTGACCCTCTCCTTCTTCTGGCGAGGGCTCCTGGAAGCAAAGGCCAGATCCTCTCCCCCTGGGGTTAGGTGGGGGAATGAGAGGATACGTAGGCTCTCCTGGGCTAGGCAGATACTGGTTTGTTCTTCTTGAAAACTTGCACTCAGAGGCAGCCATGGTGGGTGGGTCATGGGCTCACCTCTTCTTTTCTATGGGCTCACGTGGGAGACCCATCACAGCCTCAGAAGAGCCTTCATGGATCACTTCCTCCCAGCTGTCCCACATCCCAGGGACATGCTATGTCCCTTCTCTGGCTCCTGAGTCCCCTTAGCCACACATATCAACCTGGAGAGTCCCCTTTCCTTGGGCCCTCCAGGGGACAGCAGAAGATGCTGAGGCCTCACCGCGTATCCTTGGTCTTCCGGCCTCCACATGACTCCCGAGGCTGGATACACAGCTGCTGCTCTCCCAGCAGAGAGCTCAGTCCCTGCTTCTCTGAGGAGGCCAGTCAAGGCCCAGCTCTAATGTCCCGCACTGCTGTGTAGGCTACTGGCATTCCCCTTGGAATCTATACAGGCAAGGGACACTATGTGTCGTTTATGGCATCAGGTCAGGCATCCATCTGCCTCCCCTGAGTGGTCAGATCCTAAAAGTGAAGAGCAACGACAGAGACAGAGACGCTCTTCACGCCCCAAACTGGGAAAGGAGGAAGTGGATAATGAAGCTGCTTCCTGCTTAAGAGGAAGGCGGGGAGTTCTGTTGTGTGACTTCATACATGGCATCACATTCCTGGGCTGTGCCCTGTCTCCCCCCACTGTCTCAGGTCTGCAGACAGCATTTTCCTCCCATGCCTGTACCACACACTTGTCCCCCAAGGCGGGGACAGCGGAAGCCTGTAAAGAAGTGGCCTGGTCCACAGGTCCAGGAAGGCAAGCGTGGCTGTGGGGGGGACAGGTAACAAAGCTGGGCCAGGACTCTATGGTGGGGGTACCTCATGCACACGAGGCTGTGGGCTGTGGGGACTGGGCAACAGCTGTTGGGGAAGTCAAAGCAGTCGGCCACAGGCACACAGGGCCTCGTGTGTGCCATCCTGCAGTAGGCAGGAGGCCGAGCTGTAGGGGCATCTTACAAGGACTCTGTCAGATATGACGATGAAGTTTCAGGTAAGGTGCTTTGGGTCACAGTCCCACTAGAGGGAGTGAAGGGGTCCTATTGGGACCCAGCACCTCCTCCTCAAGCCCCCTGCTGTTGGTAGCTCTGGTTACCTTGGGGAAGGCAGGCCCTGCTGGACTGGGGAGAAAGTCATCTTGCTGGATTATCCTTGTCCCTCCTTTGGGATCCTCTGTGAGAAGTGGGAGAGAAGGCAAGGCCTGCTCAGGCCTCAGACTGGGAGCCAGGATATAGCCGATGACTCCTGAGGTCAGGAAGGTCATCTCACAGAGTGCTCAGAGTGCTCAGCAGCAGGGGCTTGTCTCTCCCTCATGAAGGTGACCCCCACCTTGCAACCTTGGGCTTCCAAGGGGCCTCAGTGGGTTTTGAGGACATCATGCAGGGCCCTCAGACTAGGGCCCGGAATGAGGCAGAGATGTGCAGTTTGGTCTCTGATGTCCCCAGCCGGGGCAGAGACTTCTGTGCTCCGGTGTGCGGTGTGCACCACTCCCTCTGCTGGCTGCCTCAGATTCAGCTGGGACTCTAAGGACTCAGAGTTTTACCTTTCAGACACTGGCTACTGTGTATCGTGGCTCAAAATCCCCAAAGTACATTTTAGGAAGAGAAACAAGGAGTCAAGCTGTCTGAAGATGGCCTTGGGGTGTGGGCCAGGAGGCAGGCCCCAGCTCCTGCTCTCTCCTTCTGGGAACAGCCATGGGCACTGGTAACTTCCTTTCCCTCCCCTTGACTTGGGTGTCCAACTAGACCATGCTGACTTCTTCTCTGTACAGCAGTGAGTACTTGGCCGGGGCCCATCCCTGGCTGGAAGCAGCCTCAGCTCTTGGCCTGGTGGGCTCTGCATGCTGCTGCAAGCCATATTCTTTTAAATGAATTGCTGTGTAAGAATGGTTATTCCTTGCAGCAGGTTTTGCCTACTTCTAAAAGGAAAATCCTTGGGTGAGTTAAATCTAGCAGCTAAAGGCAGAAATAATGATTCAAAACTGGGTGGTCCTCACAGTGGGAGTGGGTCCTGAGCTTGACTGGTGTGGCCTGGGGTGGTGTCCCTGATACTACGCACTAAAAGCCCAGCTGCTGGTTTGGGAAAGCCTGTTCTTCGACTGGGCTCTGAGTCAATGTAACTTGAGGACTTGAGTGTTGGGGACATCTTAAGGCCACATTCAGTTTGGTCCAACCTTACAGCTAGGTGACAGGTTCAGAAAGATGCCCAGTTCAGGTAATCTTCAACCGGAACTGTATAGTGGGGATTAAGCCTCCAACCAGGGCTGTGCCTCCTGACTTCACTCTCTTGCCTACAGAGTACACTCAAGAAGGTCTTCCTCCTAGAATTTGAGGCCACTTCAGACAAAGTTGCATTATGGAAGGCTTGGGTCCTGTCTCATTTCGGGTTTCTATTGCCATGATGAAATGCCATGACCAAAAAGCAAGCTGGGGAGGAAAGGGTTTATTTGGCTCACACTTCCACATTGCTGTTCATCACTGAAGGAAGTAAGGACAGAGACTCAAACAGGGCAGGATTTTGGAATCGGGAGCTGATGCGGATGCCCGGGGAGGGGTGCTGTTTACTGGCTTGCTTCCCCTGACTGCTCAGCCTGCTTTCTTAAAGAACACAGGGCCACCAGTCGAGGGATGGCATCACCCACAATGGACTGAGCCCTCCCCCATCAATCACTAATTAAGAAAATGCCTTACAGCGCGATCTTAATGGAGGCATTTTCTCAGTTGAGGTTCCCGCCTTTCAGATGACTCCAGATTGCGTGCCAAGTTGACCTAAGACTAGCCAGCACCGGCCCACAGCAATCAGGCACAGTGAGAAGGAGGAGGAGGACCGAACATAAGAGAAGTTACAAATAAGATCCCCAAGTGCCCCTTGAGGCGGTGGCTCCTAGGTTCTTACCGGGGCTTCCATT